AAAGTGCCATGGACTGCCAAAAGAACCAATAGATCTGTTTTGGAAGAAGGGTAGTCAGAGTGCTCCTTGGAGGCCAGGATGGCTAAGGTTCATCTCATACTTTGGAAATATTGTCAGGAGGGAACAGTCACTGGAAAAGGATGTCATGCTGGATAAGATGAAGAGTCAGAAAAAAAGAGGAAGATCCCCAATGAGCTGGATTGGCCAGGTGGCATCATTGATGGCATCAAGTGTGGCAGCGGTAGTGAGGTTGGCCCAGGATCGTACATTGTTTTGTTCTCTGTGCATGGGGTCACTATGAGTCGGTTCTGATTTGATGGCACCTGACAACAACAACAACAACAACCTTGATTGCTGAAAGGCAAAAGGACTTAAAATACTTACTGATAAAGAACACAGACTACAATCTTCAGTATGAGTTGCACCTCAAAGTAAAGAAAACAAAAATGCTTACCACTGGACCGATAAATAACATCATGAAAAATGGTGAAGGTATTGAATACTTCATTTTGCTTGGCTTCACTATCAACACTCATGGAAGCATCAGTCAAGAAATCCAATGACATATTATATTAGGGAATCTGCTGCACAAGATGTCTTTAAAGATGTCAGTTTGAGGACTAAGGTGGGCCTGACTCAAGCCATGGTATTTTCAATAGCCTCATATACATGTAAAAGTTGGACAGTGAATAAGGAAGGCTGCAGAAGAATTGACGCATTTGAGTTATGGTGTTATAGAAAAATATTACAAGTACCATGGACTTCCAGAAGAACAAACAAATCTGTGTTGGAAGAAATATAGCCAGAATGCTCCTTAGAAGACAGGATGGTGAGACTTTGCCTCTCATACTTTAGACATAGTTTCAGGAGAGACCAGTTCCTGGTGAAGAATGTCATCCTTGGTAAAGTGGAAGGTCAGCAAAAAAAGGAGACCCCCAATGAGATGAACTGGCACAGTGGCAGCACACAATGTGCTCCAGTGTAACAATAATTATAAGGATGGTACAGGACTGAGCAGTATTTAATTCTGTGATAGACAGGGTTGCTATGAATCATAATCAACTTGATGGCACCTGACAAAAACAACAACAATTGACAAAAACTAGATGAGTTAACATTCCTTAAAACATATTGGAGGTAGTGAAAAGATATGGGGATAAAATTCTTATGATTCAATAGTAAGTAATTGTTATTGTGACTAATTATGATTGTCACAATTTTAAAGGTAGAAGTTTTGTAACAAAAACCCGGGAGTACCACTTGACCTGGCTTCAATGACTGGATGATCAGAGCTCAACTAAAAGAAGAAAGAAGAGGGAAAAAAAGAATAATCTGATACAATTTGATGAACTTGATCTACATCTATAGATGCAGTAGCTCAAAAGAGGGAACAATTCTTTACATCAAGGATCATTCCTACCCCCTCCATACACAGACTAGACAGGGATAGGCAACTTGGACATTGGCTACCCAAAATGGGGGGTCTACAAAAGTGACAGGTTTACAAGCTTTCAAGAGGGAACCTAGATCCAGAGGGCATGGAGGAAGGTAGAATCTCCACTGAGTAGTATACAATCTGTCTTGGCGGGGCTGATGAAATGAAATGTGGATAGGTCTTTTGTGATACAATAGTGAATAATTGTTACTAGGACTGGTTGTGAGGGTTGGAAATGTAAAGGTAGACATTTTGTAGCATGGAGGGGAGTGATTAACTTTTCAGTCTAGGAACAGAGGTCCCTGGGACCATCAAGGGAGAAGAGCGGAGAGTGGGATCCTACCCAGAGAAGCAGTGATGCCTGAGATGGAGGCAGAGACGATGACGTGGAGAGACGCAGCAGTTGGGGACTTTAGACCCAGAGAGGAAGAGGGACTGTGTGCTGACCACCAGGGGCGGGGGAACAGGCTTGTAGAATATCTTTGGTTGGTTGGTGATGCATGGAGGGGATTGTTACCATGGCCATGAAACTAGATATGATAAGGATGAATTTAAAATTAATGTTCTCCCATGTAAACTATCACATAATTCACAATAAAACATTTAAAACAAACAAACAAACAAAAAAACAACAACACTGGGGAGTAGTTAATCTTACAGACCAGAAAAAGAGGACCCTAGGACCCACAAGGGAGAAGAGCACAAGCGGAATGCAGGAACCTTCCATAGAAGCAACGTCACCAGAGATGGAGGCAGAGATGGGACCATGGAGAAAGGGGGCACCTGAGGATGTAGATTCATGGAAAGATAGGGACTGAGAGCTAGCGGCCAGGAGGCAGACTTGCAGAATGTGCCCTTTGGTGTTTTAAATTATTATACATGCCTGAGGGTTTAAAAAAAAAAGAAGCTAAAATGAATAGAAACACTGTTAACTGATGGTACATGAAGGGGATTATAATCATTGTAATGAAACAAAGTATATAATTTGTTGAATGTAAAACTGAAGATCTGTCCTGTAAACTTTCACTCAAATCAAATAAAAACTTAAAAAGAAAACATATTGGAGGATGGGGTACTAGGCAAAAAGGCTGTGCAGACCCTCTTCAGCAAAAAACATGGAAAATCAGATAAAACAGATTCAGAGGGCAGTTCCAGAACTCTGAACTTCAGATAAGGGATTAATAAGTGGATCAAATGCTTACAAGGAGAAAACTTTGGAACAGAAGGAAGAAAAGAAGTGACTTCTGATTTGGGGTGGCCAATGTGTCCCACTGCAACCATATTGAACCGGAGTGGGCAGATAGAGGGATACATGAGGACTCTCATTACAGAAGACTGCTAACAATTTATAGAGACATAAGAGTGGTTACGAATCGGGCTGTGAACC